GCCGTGAGTCAATTATTCAGGGATCTGTTTTGTACTCTCTTCTGTTCCACTGGTCTATTGATGTATCCTTTCAAATATTTCCTTTGGCTTTTATTTCCTCCTCTCTGGGACTCCAATAAAATACCGATGAAATCTTAGTGTATCCTCTGAGTTTTACCCTTTTCTTCTGTATAGTAGTTTCAGTAGTTCTTTTCTCGTCTGTGCTCCTTCTTGTGAACTATATCTTCCAGTTCACTAATGCTTGCTTCAGCTTTTTACCTAAACTGTTGAGATTAAATACTGAAATAATTTCAAACACTTTATTTTCTGATTCTAAAACTTCTGTTTAGTTCTTTCTCAAGTCTGCCTTGTCATTTCTGTATAGTTTCAAACTTCCTACCATTAAGTAATAGTTTGCTTTTATAGTAAGTATGATAGTTTTCTTTGTTTGGTAATTCCAATATCTTAACACATTCTGGTCCCTCTCTTTTCTGTTGGTTCTGCTGCTGCTTTCTCTTGAGGCCATGTGTGTGTATGTATACCTGGTTATATTTATGAGCTGATCACTGTATGCTAAAAAAAACCATTATCTTATGATAACTTCAAGCCTAGGATAATAATACCTTCTCCAAGAAGACTTTTGTTTGTTTTTTTCCAGGGAACTAGGGCATTACCACTCTATGTATCTTAATTGAGGTTTGACCACTTAATCCAGGTTGGATCATAACAGGACACAAGGTCAGGATGCAAGTTTTCTCCTTGAGTGTGTCTTCTTAAAATGAGAGGCAATTTACCAGTGATCCCACCTCTGAAGGTTCTGAGNTATATAGAGATCTCCCTTCTCCCTTGGCAGGGAGATTTAATACAACCCCCTCATTGTACAGATGAGAGAACCAAAGCCAGAGAAGTTAAATAAATTGCCTAAAATAACACTATTGTGGCAAATTAGGACCAAAGCCATGTGCTTCTCCCATCATATCACACTGTCTGCTGTTTAAAATTCTGGTGAGCTTTCTAACATAAATAAAACTGTATTGTGAAGGACAATTAAAGTTAGCATCCATAATATTCAATGGCTTAAAAGTACTAGACAAGTTCATTAGCTTTTAAAAAATGTTACTAAATTATTAAAAGGAAACTGACTATAAGTCTCAGATCAAACAGATTTTTTCCTTCCAATAAATATATGACATAATTCTCAAAACCTCTGAAGGTTACTAAAATTATGCTAAACAGATATGCTAGAGAAAATAGTTAAATGTATACATGGTAAACTGTAAAGTGGAAAATTGAGAATTCTGGAAATTTAAAATTTCAGTGTGAAGGACAGATTGCCACAATAGGAGTATTTTCACAAGAGTGAAATTGCCAGAGGTGACTTTACCTGCAAGAGCCCACTCTCCTGTACCATGGGTGTGCCCACTGTAATATAAAACATACGTATCGTGTCTAGGTCCATCCACAGTCCGAAGTTCAAGGAAAGCTTTCAGTTTGGAATGGAGAGTATCAAAAGATAGTCCACTTGTGGAATAGTCACATCCATAGGTCTCAATCATATGATATGCAAAAAATCTTTGGATAGCATTGAGCATGCCAGTAGACCTTAAATTTAATTCCTGTACATGTTCTGGGGGAAGAAGTGTTGGCTGACCATCAGGACTGAATGAGAAAAAAAGATTATTTTGGTATTTAAGAAGTATTAATTCTATATCACATTTTAATTCTTTATTTATAATTAATTACCTAAGAATCCTAATAGTTGCTAAATGGCAGGAGTTTTAAAAAATCATCTTTTCTAAAATTCCTTTAGTGCTAACAATTAAAGTTTCAAAAATCAAAGTGTAGTTTCTAGGAATTATATTTCTTGTCAATAAATTAATCACCAAATTGAAAGCTGGAAGAATAATATCTCCAAATGTAGAGAGCACTACACTCTTCATTTTTTATTCATATCTTCTCATAAAATGACATGTATTGGACAAGACATTTGAAAAGCAAAATTATACTAATTTTACCCCAAAAGTGTATCATGAAAACTTTTCTTTCTTCACATAAAAAAATTTAATAAAAGATGGAAGCAATATTTTAAATTATATACTTAACTTTTTATATTGAAAGAAATATCTTTATAAAGTTGTGTTCAAGTTTTACTAACCTAAAGTACATAAATTATAAAAGAAATTGCCTGAGTAAATGGCATTTAAAAACAATTATTAAAATCTAGGTCCATTCCACATATGACTGAATATTAAATTGAAGACTTAGATCTGATCCTGGAACAAATGTAAATGGTACTGTAGCAAAAATGATAAACCAGGTCCAACAACTAGCAGAATCAAAATACTATCAATATTGAAGGGGAAAAAACAAATCATCACTCCTATCCAGAAAAGGAATTTTGAAAACTTTACATTTTGCTTCATGTATTACCAATCGTATTCCGATAACACTTTTGTTTTCTTTAAAACAATAAAAATTTTGTTCCATATTTGTAACATTTATTAATCACAAAAATGTAAAAGAATATGAAACATATAAACAAAAAATCATAATGGAATAAAAATCTAACTGTACAAATTACTTTTTCCACATATTCTTTCTGTAGAGTTGTCGCATCTTACTTTATGGAGCCCTTCTAAATCTATTTGTTACTTCTCATGAGAATCTTCAACTTTTTATTAAGCCTTTAACATGGAGAAAAATATTTAATACCAATAATCTATTTCGGGTGTCAAATATTTGAAGTCAGATGAAAACTTTTTGATTTCAAGTCCCCCCCACCCCAAGGAAAGTATGATGAATACTTGGTCATCAGAATTCATTAATGGCAAAGAACTCATTTTTTCTATTTCAAAGGTACTTAACTATATGAGAAAAATTTAAATGTGGCAATATTTACAGATTCAGATAGATCTGCCACATATTGGGAATCAAAAATTATTTTGGAATAAAACTGCAATCAAATATATATTTGCATTGCCAATCTTCTGAATTGTTGATATCTGTATAACATTTTCCAGTGGGTAGTATTTTTATATTCATATTCTCATTAGCTCTTCCTAACATTTCTCTAAGATAGGCAGAATAGGTATTGTCATTTGCATTTCAGATAACGATACTGAGGTTCAGAGAAGTTATGATTTGCCTAAGGTAACACAGAACTAGAATATAGGACTCTCAGATCCAGTGTAAATTCTATTATATACATCACCACATTGTTTCATGGGATGCTTTCTTAAACAAGATATCCCTTTCTAAAGAAAGGGTAGGCTGTTTCCTTAGAAA